TTTGTAAATAGGGAAGGGTGGAGGGGGTGAAGGGAGGGCTAGGAATGGGGAAAAAATAAGAACCAAGATGCATCATGCAAAGGTACAAGTTCCCAATGAGGAATGTAAATGTGTTGTATACCTAAAATGTACCAATAAAAGAATTTAAGTAAAAAAAAGAAAAAGAATTCTAAATTTATAGACAGCTGAGTGTCTATATTAGTTTCCTAGGGCAGAGGGAACAAATTAACACAAAAGGGATGGCTTAAAGCAACAGAAATGGTATTCCCCTCTCTCACAGTTTAGTAGGCCTGAAGTCCAAAACCAAGGTGTCAGTACAGTTGACTCATGCCCTCCCCTAGCTTCTGGAGGTTGTTGGCAATTGTTGGAATTCTCTGGCTTGCAGAGATACTACTGTCGTTTCTGCCTCCTTCTTTGCATGGAGCTGTGTGTATGTCTGTCTTCACATATCCATCTTATAAATCAATGGATTTAGGGTTCACATTAATCCAGTGTGTCCTCCTTTTAACCAATTATATTTTCAAAAACCCTATTTGCATATAAGGTCACACTGTAAGGATAGGGGATAGACATGACTTTTGGGGGTGGGGGCAATATTTAATCCAAGGCAATGTCATAAAGAAAAGAAGAAAAGGAGCTTTTAAAAAATTTTAAGTGGAGGGCCGGGGATTTAGCTCAGTGGTTTCGCCGCCTGCTATGCAAGCGCAAAGACCCGAGTTCGATCCCTGGTACCAAAAAAAAAAAAAATTTTAACTGGAGAAATGAGGATCAGAAGGAGACAATCAGTTGATTTTTGGACATTTTCTATTTCAAGTTCCCATGGGACATCAAAGTGAAGCTTTGGTTCTGGTAAGCCCCTGGAAATATGTGTGGCACAAAATTAGAGTTCAGAACTGTGTAAAGATGTGCAAGTCACTGCAATGTAAGCGATTTGTAAAACTACACCAATTGATAATATCAACATAGAATCAGAAGAGCACCATGTACTGGCATCCTTTAAAGCACCAAAATCTTTTTTTTCCCCCCATGGCAAAAACCCTCTTGTTTATTTGATTAAACAAAAATAAAATAAGCTGCATAGGAACAATTTTAAAGTCCAAAGAGACACCAAATTTGTTTTAAGGCTGTAGTAGCTGATACAGCATCTCCTTGCTACCTTCTCCAGCCTTCTCTGTGGACAACAGTGATACATTCAGAAGCCTGTTATCTAACACAGGAGTTTTTGAACACTTTTCCATTGGTTCTTCGCCTGCTCATTGCCTGTCATGCCTGCGGCCTATACTATTAACATTTAAGATTTAAAAGCAATAACAAGAGGGGAAATACATAACTCAAACAAACAAAAACCTACTTTTGCCTATAGGTCTGAAGTAAAATCTACTTCCCCACCCATCCACTGAAATGATGGCATGGGACGCACACTACCAAGGCAGTGGCCATGTAAAACGTGGCACGAGGCAGCCGGCACCCAGACAGGCTTGCAACACAGCTTCTGTGGCCAGGGAGGTATTCTAGGGGTACATATTGCTTATATCAGTTTGCCTTGGACAAATAATAAAAAGCAGAGGTTTAATTTAATCACCCTCACATCAGGCAACATGCCTTTTTGCTAGTTTCCCCCAATTCTTTAACTTAAATTTCTTAAAAAAAAAGAGAAAGAAAA